TGGACTCCTGGGTCTGAGGGAGGAGGGGGCTGGGGCTGGACTCATGGGTCTGAGGGAGGAGGGGGCTGGGGCCTCGACTCCTGGGTCTGAGGGAGGAGGGGGCTGGGCCTGGACTCCTGGAGGAGGAAAAAGTATCTAGAAGGCAGGATACTTAGATCTAGACCTCGGGAGAGGAATCAAAACTGGGAAGAATAGGGGCTCCTTGAGGATAAATGAGGGCCCAGGACCCAGGAAACCTTGACATAAAAGATATGGCCAAAGACAAAGGCTGATAGAACTGGAAAGTCATCACTTCCCAATGTATCATGAAATAATCAATCCAAGCAATGACCACCAATGATGGATGTTAAAACCTTTAAGGAAAAGATTATAAAGGAGGGATTGGGGTCAACTGAGTTCTGGACAAGCAGACATAACGTCCCCCTGACACCGTGCACTGGAAGCCCTACGGCGAATCTGAATCTGGTCAAGCCTTTACATCTAACCACCTGCTTTCAGGAAACACAAAGGACAGTGGAACACAATAAATGACATCACTGGCACGTTATCGGCCAAATCCCAACTGCGGAACAGAGACTTAGTATCACCACCAAATAAACAGTATAGAGAAAAAAGTCGGAGGGAACCGTTAGAAACGAAAAAATACTCATGAGACATATCAACCACTTAAAATATATCAGCTTTTGGGGACCTAACTGAAACAAACCAATTGGTAAGAGGCATTTTTGAGACAATCTGGGATACCTGAAAAACAACTGAATATCAGACACTATTAAGAACTTATTAGTTCTTTAGGGGTGAGAATAATATGGTGATTATATTTTCAAAAAAGCGTTCTTATCCGTAAGTGATATGTGCTAGAGTATTTACAGGCAATATGATTCTGGGATTGACTTTTAAGATTTGGGCCAGGAAGTCCAATTGGGGGGGCACGAAACAGGGATGGAAGAAGGCTGATCATTGTTAAAGCTAGGGAGCACAGATGGGGGCCTCCCCAACTATTCTGTTTTTGTGGGTGCGACATCTTCTGTAAGATGACATTTAAAGAGCAAGAGAGTTCTGCGTCCCACTTTGGTGAGTGGTGTCTGGGGTCTTAAAAGCTAGCGAGCGGCCATCTAAGATGCATCAATTGGTCCCAGCCCACCTGGAGCAAAGGAGAATGAAGAACACCAAAGACACATGGAAAGTATTAGCCCAAGAGACAGAAAAGGCCACATAAACCAGAGACTCCATCAGCTTGAGACCAGAAGAACTAGATGGTGGCCAGCTACCACCAATGACAGCCCCGATAGGGAACACAACAGAGAGTCCCTGATGGAGCAGGAGAAAGGTGAGGTGCAGAACTCAAATTCTAGTAAAAATACCAGACTGAATGGTCTAACTGAGAGTGGAGGGACCCTGGAAGACATGGCCCTCAGACTCTCTGTTAGCCCAAAACTAAAACCACTCCCGAGGCCAACTCTTTAGACAAAGATTAGACTGGACTATGGGACATAAAATGATACTCGTGAAGAGTGTGCTTCTTAGCTCAAGTAGATACATGAGACTAAATGGGCAGCTCCTGCCCGGAGGCGGGATGAGAAGGTAGAGAGGGTCAGGAGCTGGTTGAATGCACACCGGAAATCCGGGGTGGAATGGAGGAATGTGCTGTCACAGCATAGAGAGAGCAACTAGGATCACATAACAATGTATGTATAAATTTTTGTATGGGAGACTAACTTGAATTGTAAACTTTCACTTAAGGCACAATAAAAATAAATAAATAAAGAGAGAGAGAGAGAGAGAGAGAGAGAGAGAGAGAGAGGCAAAGGAAGAGGTCCCACTGAGTCAGACCCAAAAACCACCGGCAGGGAAAGAGGAGGAAACAGGAGTGATATACCCCTCCCCTCTGAAGCCCAAGTGTCCCCATTTGGGGGATGGGGGTAATGATGGAACCCAGGTCACCAGGAACACCAACCACCAGGAAGATCCGACAAGAGAAGGAACAGGTGAGGAAGAGCCAGCAGGCCAAACACACACCTGTTCCCGCTGCTCGCGGCCACCCTGTTCCGTGTCCGCTTGCTGCCCCAGGAGCTCCCGGAGCTGCTCCTCCTCCCGCCGGGCAGCCACTCGCTCCCCGGTCAGCTCACCTCGCAGCAGGGCCACCTCCACCTCCATCTGCGGAAAGAATGCAAGGGCCAGGGCTCAGATGCCTGAGTCTGAGGGAGGAGGGGCTGGGGGCCTGGACTCCTGGGTCAGAGGGAGGAGGGGGCTGGGACCTGGACTCCTGGGTTTGAGGGAAGAGGGGCTGGGGGCCTGGACTCCTGGGTCTGAAGGAAGAGAGGGCTGGAGGCCTGCCACTTGGTTCTGAGGGAGGAAGGGGCTGGAGACCTAGAATCCGATAGCCAGGGAGGAAGGGACTGGGAGCCTGGCATTACCGATCGTCACGCACTGGAACCAGACCTCCGAAACGGGTCCACAGCCTCACCTCGATCCTCAGCTCCTTCCTCTGGCGCTGTAGCTCCTTTACTCGCTGCTCCATCAGGGCCACGCGAGTCAGTGCCTCCAGCTGCTGCCCTCGAAGCTGTGGAGCTGCCCCTCGGACGCCTTCCCCAGAGGAGGTGGGCATGGGGGGCGTGGCGGGGATCTGCAGCGGAGGTGGGGCCTCTGGCTGAGGTTGGAGAGGGTGTGGTCAAGTGGTGAGGCCCCCCCCACCCCCACCCCCCCGCAGTCCTGGACTAGGCCTGTCCCCTAACCTACACCCCCCCTCAGGGGGTCTGTGATTCACCAAGCTCATTAACCGCATCAGGCTCTTAAGGTAGGGTGCAGGTCCGGAGACCATGTGACCCAGGTACCCAGAGGCTCAAAGTCCAGGGAGGGTGGGGCAGACTCGTGGGAGAAAAGTTTTTTTCTATCCAGGTCTCATTCTCCAGGGCACTTTCTCGTAGTCGCAGGGTCTGTCTCTCTCTGGGCTCTACGTGTCTCTGCCAGTTTCTCTGGGTTTTTTTCTCTCCGACTTAGTATTTGTGTCTGAGTCTCTCTGGCTCTTGTCTTGGTCTCTTCTCCCTCGGTCTCCCTTCCTCTCTCAAGGTATCTTTGTTCCTGTTTCCCTCAGTATCTCTGCACTTCGTTTCTGGGTTTCTGTCTGTGTGTATCTACCTCCAACTCAGTCTCTGGGTCTCCCTTTTAGGTCTTTGCCTCTCAGTCTTCACGTCTCCGGGTCTATGTCACCTTTTTGGGTCTCTACATCATTTTACCTGGATCCACAACCAATACCCATGAAAGCAACAGTTAAGAAATCAAACGACTTATTGCGCTGGGCAAATATGCTGCAGAAGACCTCTTTATAGTGTTAAAAAGCAAAGATGTCACTCTGAGGAGTAAGGTGCACCTGACCCAAGCCATGGTATTTTCAATCGTCTCATATGCATGCGAACTTTGGACAGTGAATAAGGAAGACCGAGGAAGAATTGATGCCTTTGAATTACGGTGTTGGTGAAGAATATTGAATATACCGTGGACTACCAGAAGAACGAGCAAGCCTGTCTTGGAAGAAGTACAGCCAGCGTGCTCCTTAGAAACGAGGATGGTGATACTTCCTGTCACGTACTTTGGACATGTTATCAGGAGGGACCAGTCCCTGGAGGACATCATGCTTGGTAACGTAAAGGGTCAGTGAAAAAGAGGGAGACGCTCAACGAGATGGATTGACACAGGGACTGCAACAATGGGCTTAAACGTAACAATGACCGAAGATACGCAGTGTTTCGTTCTGTTGTACATAGGGTCACTATGAGTCGGAACTGACTCGAGGGAACCTAACAACAACAAACGTCTCTCTTTGAGCTTCTGTGGCTCAGCATGTGGGGTTCTATCTCTCAGTAGTCTCCATATCTCTGGGGCTCTCTGTCTCTGGATCCCTGTTGATCTGATTTCTCTATACCTGTCTGTGTCTCTGTACCCGGTTGGGTTTTTGTGGGTTTCTGTCTCTCACTCGTCTCCATACCTCTGGAGCTCTCTGCGTCTGGGTCTCTGTTGATCTGGTTTCTCTATACCTGTCTCTCTGCCTGTCCCCGTTTGAGTCTGTCTTTGTGAGTCTCTGTCTCTCTGGGTCTCCCCGCGACTCTCTCCCTCCGGGCCCCTCACCGTGTCGCGGCTGCTCTCGGTGCTGCTGCCTTCTCCTACGTCTTCTTCCTCCGCTTGCTGCTCCGCTCCTCCGCCGCTTGCAAGCTCCGCCGGGGCCTTGGGCGCCTCTGGCTCCCGAGGCTCCTCGGGGGACTCCCGAGGCAGGGAGGCCCCTTGGAGCCGGGCCTCTGTGTCGCACTCCGGCATCCGCGGGGGCGAGATTCCAGCCTCGGAGCGACTCGGCGTCCCCATGGCTGCTTCGTTCTCCTGTGGGGTAGGCGGGGCCCGCTGTTCTGGGGGCGGGGCCTAGCCGCGCTGGGGGCGGGGCCTAGGCGTTTGGAGCTCCGTGCCCGACAGCTCCAGAACGTGGACGGAGTGCCTCAGGAGGCGGGGCCTAAGGGTTCAAAGGACCGGAACTAAGCAATTCGGGGGCGCGTCCTGCGCTTTCTAGGGGCGGAGCATTAAGTTGGGGCGGGGCTTGATGCTGCTAGGGTGCCACGCCCCCGAAAGCATGGCCGGAATTTGAGTCCGGGGTCCTAGAACGCCCCCTAGGGGCCTCTCCGACCCCTTCTCTCCCTCCTACCCAGATGTCGGTCCTTGTACCCTCCCAGCAGCCCCCCTCAATCCCTTGGAGTACCTTAAAGCGACCTCATCTCCTTCTCCCTCGGGGACTCGGGAGTTCAGGCTCCTGCCCCCTTCTCTCTTAAACCCCAAACCCCCCACCCTGGAGGCCGGGAGTCTGGGCCCCAGACCCCGTGTGTAGAGAGCAGCGCCCACGCCACCTCACCCAGGGACCCAGGAGTCGGGCGCCCAGTCTCCTCTCTGGACTAGCCTGTAGTCTGAGCCCTCTGCTCCTCCCAGGAGCTAGACTGCCGAACTCCAGCCTCCTCCTCCTCCGCGGCCGCAGGAGACCGAGTCCCCAGCCGCCTCCTCCCCCGCGGCCCCGACCCCTTCACCAGCTCCGGTTTCGGCGCGGTCCCCTCAGCGCTCTGGGCGCTGCCGCTTCTGCCTAAGAGACAGGTGGCAGGGGAAGAGGGAGGGAGGAAAGAAAGGCCGCCTCGTCCCCCTCCCCAGCAGCCCGGAAGTGGAGGGGGCGACAACAGGTCCGACAGCTCCCGAGGGAGGAGGGAGCCACCAGCTTACCCCGCCCGCGGCCGTGGTATCCGGCTACCCGGCCCCACCCTCGGAGAACCCAGCACCCCGATCCCATTCTGCCTCCAGTGTCCCCATTCCCGCCCCCTGAAGGCCCAGGCTGCCTCGGCCGACTCTGCATAAGCGCCTTCCTAATGCCCAGACCCTGGGAGTCCTGTAACGAAAACTGGAATGGAGATGGGGGCCTCTCTCCCCTAATGAGCACTTTAGAAAGCCCCGACCGGTTTGGGGAGCTGGGCAAGGGGAGGGGGGTGCCCTGAGCTGAGTCAGAGACCCACCCAGAGACAGGGGGAAGTGTGACCCCCCTCCACTTTGCTAAGGGGTGGCGGGCAGAGGTTAAAGGTCTCAGCCAGGCCCTTTCCCCTCTGGGCAAAAACAGGAAAATAGCTAGTGTGTGAAACGGGATTGGATTCTAGAGCTGTGCTAAACACTTTATACATATTAATTTCATCTTCACAGCAGCCCAGTGAGAAGGGGATCACTCTCTCCATTTTACAGGTGGGGAAAGTGAGGCTGAGGGGAGACAAATGTGCCCAAGATCTACAATGTTGTAAATATTAACACCAAACTCGTCCTCTGGAAAGCCCATGTTATGCATACTGTCACTCCAGGCCAGGAAGTGCCTGAAAGAGCGTTCCAAATAATAACGATAATGGTTATCACTGATATGGAGCCTTCCATGCAGGCACTGTGCCAAGTACCTCGTATGTATGGACTCACTGGGTAGTCACAATAACCCTCTTATTAATACTATTATGTTCATTTTACAGATGAGCAAACTCAGGCCAGGAGAGGTGAAGTATCTTATCCTGGATCTCACCAGGGGAAGTAGCTCAAATTCAAGTTGATGTTCTAAGCCAACGAGATAAGAAGACCTGCCCCAGATATCTGCATTTGCTTCTGATCTTGTGAGTTAGGAAATCTCCTTTTGGACCACTGGACAGATCCAGGGGCTCTGGCCTCCCCAGGATACCAGAACCAACTCTAGGCACCTCAGCCCAGAAACCCAACTGGCTCCCCCAAGAAAAACAGGCAGTAGTCAGATTCACAGCCAAAAAAAAAGTTTATTTAAGAAGCTCGAAGTGGTGATGAAGGGTAGAGAGGAGAGTGGGGGAAGTGACACCTCTCCCCTCACCCTACCATAACGGATATGAGCACCTGACAGAGAGGAGCGTCAGCAGGGGGGGGTCTGGACCCCACAGCGCATGTTGGCTGGAACAGCAACGTCTGAAAGGAAGAGACCAAAGGGGAAACTAAGGGGCCCAGACAGACCTCCATGCCCCACTAGGGACCCAGAAATCCTAGGAACCCCTTTTTGGGGGGATCTAGAATTCTGGCCATGAGTCCCCCTCCTTTGTCAGTCTCAAATGTCCATCTCTGCCAAACCCCTCCTCCCTCAGATGCAGGAGTCCAGGCCCCAGCCCCCTCCTTCCTCAGGACATAGAAGCCCAGACCCACATCCCACCCCTTCACCAGACCCAGGAGTCCAAGTCCCCAGCCCCCTTCTCCCTCAGACCCAGGAGTGCAGGCTCCCAGCCCCCTCCTCCCTCAGACCCAGGAGTCCCAGCCCCCAGCTGCTCACCTATCTGCTGAGGCTTGGGCAAGTTCAGATTGTCCATGACCTTGATAAACTCCTCACAGCTGAGCGTAAGCCGAGGGTTCAGAGTCCGCTCCTCTTCCACCGTGGACACTGTGAGCCCTAGTGGCCAAGGGAAGGGGAGAAAAGTCAACCAGTCCAGCGCCTCGGGTCTCGCAGGACTACATTTCCCAGGAGGCCTCGGGTACCTCTCTGGCCTGGGACTAACAGGCTCTTCCCAGAACTGTTCCTAAGATTGCATTCCCTCCTCAGTGGGCACCAACCCCATGCCCTCCAGAATTCTACGAGTCATAGTTTCTATATTCACCAGTACACTTAAGCACCTGCTCGTTCTGAGCAGAGGAGCTTCTGGAGTTGCAGTCTCCACGCACCACGAGGATTATAGCAGCCTGGTAAACCAAACCAAACCCGCTGCCATTGAGTGGATACCGACTCACGGAACCCCATGGGTTACCGAGTGGAACTGCTCCACAGGGCTTTCTTGGCTGAAATTTTTAGGAAGCAGATTGCCAGGTCTTTCTTCTGTGGTGCCGCTGGGTGGGTTCAAATCGCTAACCTTTCGGTTAGCAGTCTGAGCACAAACTGCACCACCTAGAGGCCTGGCGGTCTGACAGACAACCACAACAACAAAAAACGTTGCCATCGAGTCAATTCCGACTTGTGGTGACCCCATGTGGTGCAGACTAGAACTGCGCTCCATAGGGTTTTCAAGGCTGTGACTTTCTGGAAGCAGATCACCAGGACTTTCTTTCAAGGTGCTTCTGGGTGTGTTTGAACCTCCAACCTTTACAGTTAGTAGTTGAGTACTTAACCATTTGTGCCATTCGGGGACTCAGCAGTCTGGCGCCCCCTTTCAAACAGTGAGTTCTATAAGCCCCACACCTCCTCCAAGAAGCCCTCACCATGGTAATCATGAGCAGGGTAGATCAGACAGTCGCCTGGAAGTGTGAAGATCTTTTCGTGGACTGAGTTGTACAAAGTCTTAGCACAGCCTGGGGAGGGAAAGCTCAGAGGTCAGTGGATCAATAGGACAGGAAAAGCTCCCTAACCCCTTCCTTCAGGAAAAGGGCAGGAAGAGAAAATCACTGTAGCTAAACCCTCTCCTCATCTCCTGCCAGTACCCTTTTGTGAAGGTAGAGAAGAAGGAGAGGGAAGGGCATTCTAGGCAGGTGGAACAGCATAGACAAAGAATTGAGGAATGGTGAGAAATTCAGCGTGGTTGTAAATGATCTGGGGACCTGGAAGCACTAAAGAGTTGTGACCTCTAGGGATACCAAGAAATGGTTCTGAGCAAGAAAAGGTGAACAGGAAGATAAGACACTGGAGACACGAAGCCAAGGAGGAGGCTGGTGTCATGGCTCCGAGAAGAAGCCCTAAGTCCTAAGTCGGGGCAGGGGCAAACCTTTATGGAATGTTCTTCTGTCTTTCATTTCAGCCTAAATTCCTTCAACTTCATAACTGTGTGGGGAGTGGATGAATGGGAGATTGAGAGCCTCAGAGAGAAAAAAACAGAAGGAGATGCAGAGATAAGGAAAAAGGAAAGAGGAAGCAAGAGGCAGCCTGGGGACCTGGCCACCCACACACAGGGTGGCTTCTGTCTTTTCTCTCTTACCCAGCCTTGCCCTCCTCCCCACAAGGCTGCTAAAGCCTCCAAATCTAATGCCATAACCCACATTCCCACACACACTCAAAGGGCAGCTAAACCCTGAAATTCCGGAACCAAACTCCCTTCCCACAGCTAAACCCCTGAATCTAACTCCCCCCTGTAGCTGATCTCCCAATGTAACACTACCCTCTAGCAATTAAACCACTGAATCCAACAACCTCCTAGCAGCTAAATCCCAGAATCTAACTGCCCCCAAGCAGCTTAACTCCTGAATCTAACAGTCCCCTCTACACCCCAGCAGCTAAATCCCTGATGGTAGTTTTAAAATATGTCCACACATTCTTTGATACTCCTCTCTTCAAAATGGGAAGTTTAATGCCCTTCATCTTGACTTAGTGGTCTGGACTAAGCGACTTGCTTCTAATAAGTAGGATATTGGAGAAATGATGGTGTGTAACTTCTGAGACTAAGTCATAAAAAAAAAAAAAAATTGTGACTCTGTCTCTCTGATCATTCCCTCTGGGAGAACCTAGCTGCTATGTCATGAGGAGTCTCAAGCAGTCCTATGGAGAGGTTCATATGGTGAGGAACTGAGGCCTCCTGCCAACAACCAGCACTAACTTATCAGCCATGTGAGTGAGCCACATTCTAAAGGGATCCTTCAGCCCCAGTCAAGCCTTCTGATGACTACAGCCCTGGCTGACAGCTTGACCGTAACCTCTGAAGAGCCTCCTGAGAATTTCTGGGGAAGCTCTTCCCCTCCTGATAAAAGGGACTGGCATTTCACTTCTTCTGTACTGTGAACGTAAGGTGTGATGGCTGCTGCTGCAGCAGCCACCTTGAAACCATGAAGGACAGGCCAAGAGAATCCCACAAACGACAGTGCTACTGAATCAAAGGCAGCAACTGCCTTCTTCCAGATTTTCTGTTATGGGAGAAAATTAAACTCCCAATGCTTTAAGCCACTGTAGTGGGTTTTTCAGTGACTTACAGCCAAATATCTTCTGAACTCATGAGCAAGGACCACCCAGCAAAGCTACTCCCAGATTCCTGACTCTGAGAAACTGTGCAAGATAATAAATGCTATTCATTGTTTTAAGTTGCTAAGTTTGGGATTAATCTGTTAAACAGCAATAGCTAACTAACATACCCCTGAAATCTAACTGTCCTCTAACAGATAAACCCTTTTCTCTAACTGTCCCTCAGCAGCTAACCCCCTAAATCTAACTCTCGCCCCCTCCAGCAGCTAACCCCCTTGAATCTAATCCTGATCCACTATAAGTCTAACATTCATTCATTCATGCATTCTTGCAAGTGATACTTAAAACCCTGGCACACACATAACTAGACTAAGCTCTAGTCTAGTTATGCAGAGGGACCTTGCTGGAAGTCCGTCCGCCCACACCCTCGGATGAGTAGGGCATCTCCAGTGAAGGCCATGCTGTGGTCATTCAGGACGAAGGTGACACAGCCTGGGGTGTGGCCAGGGCTGGCCCGTGCCTCCAAGGCCTGCCAGGAATAAGAAGCACAGAGACAGTCACCAATAAGCCAATGGCTCCACCTTCATGGTGACACTGGCCCCAGAAACCCCCATCCAGCCTAGGTCACATCTAGATGACCTTTTTTTGGAAAATATTAAGTTAGATTCCCAAGCTCAAACCTTACAGCAAGATAAACTCCAAATGAGTTAAAGACTTAAATGCAAGAAAATAAAACCGCAAAATTGTGACAACAACAAAATACAAAGGAATATATAATCTCTGGTTAGGGAAGAAAGTACAAATCTGATTCCTAAAGTCATAAATCATTAAGGAAAAGACCAACAGTTTACTTTTAAATAAATTTAAAACTTTTGAATGGCAACAACACTGTAAACAAAATCTAAAGAGAACCAACAAATAGGGAAAGACATTTGTAACACATATGTAACACACAGTGGTCAATACTTCATATACAAACAGTTCTCGCAAATCAATAAGAAAAAGACACTAACATAAAAATTAAATACTAAACAGTCATTAAGAATAACGTTGAAATAAAATTTAGTGACGCCTTCTGCAAATATTTAATGACATGAAAGGTGTTTAATATCCGTTAAGTGTAAAAAGCAGGTTACAAAAGCAACTTATACAGTGTGATTGTCTTTAAAAAAAATTTTCATTTTAGCTCTAAATATATATTTTGTTCTTTATTCATGTAGTTTTGTAATTGAAAAAAAAATTCAAGATAAATTAAAGATCTAAACATAAAAAAATCATTCTAGAAGGATATATATGTATATATGTGTGTGTATCTTGAGATAGGAAAGGTTTTTCTAAGCATGACAGGAAATTCAGAGGCTATAAAGAAAAATAGTGACAGATGTGACCACATACAAAATTTTAACTTCATTACAGCAAAAACAAATTCACAAAGTTAAAAGACAAACTCAAGACAATATTAACAGCACATATAGCAAAGCATGATAAAGTGTTAATAGCCATAATATATAAACAGCTCCAAAGTATAAATAAGAACTCCCAAAAAGAAAAATGGGCAAAGGAAAAGAACAAGCAGTTCATGAAAGAAGAAAGAGAAATACGCCAAAAAGCATCTGAAAAGATGTTCAACCTCCCTGGAAAGGAAGGTGGGGAAGGAAGGACAGATTTTAATTTCAAAAGTCTTTATTTTTCATTTACCAGACTAGCAACTGTCAGAGTGCTTACAGTATTCGAGGTAAGCCCTTTCAATTCCTGGGATGTGGGTACAACGCAATATAGCCATTTTGTTGGGCAACTTAGCAGTATTTATCAACATCTCAAATGTTTACATTTCATGACCCTCAAAGCTACTTCTAAGACCCTGCCGATAAGCACCTCTGACAAAATGCACAAAAATGCCTTTGGAGGGAGTCCTCCCATCTAAATCCCACGTGCAACTCAGGGAAGAAAGATTTATCACAAAAAAATATTACCCTGATGATCTAACAATCACTTATAAGATTAGTCCCCACTCACATTCCTCCTCTCATTTTATCTGAGAATAAAGCCCCTCACATTAATCAGTATGCTTGTCCAGGTCAGTTGCTTGCTGATTATCAAGGACACCATATGCAGACCCTGGTGTCTGCCCCCTAGTATCTATTCTGCCCTTCTTCCCTACTTACAGATTCCCATTCTGGTTCTGGGCATCAATTGCTCAATCAAATACATACTTTGCCAGCCTCCCTGGCTGGTCTAGCGTGACCCCTGATACAGTTCTCTGGTCAATGAGATCTCTTTGAAAGTCTCCTGAGGATTTCTAGGAAACCTTTCCCCTTCCTTATAAAAAGAGACTGACATTTCTCCTTTCCACTTCCTCTGACCGTGAACATAAAGTATGATGGCTGCTGCTTCAGCAGCCACCTTGCAACCATGAAGGAAAGGTCAAGAGAATCCCACAAACGATAGTGCTGCTGAATCAAAGGCAGCAACTGCCTTCTTCCAGATTTCCTGTCAAACTCTTAAGCCACTACAGTGGGTTTTCAGTTACTTCTAGCCAAACATCTTCTTAACTCGTATACAGAAGCACATATGTGCAATGCAAAACAAGTGCATAGCAAAATTACAAATTCTGCAAAATCTTGTGGGGAAAATTATCTTCCCCTCCAAAAAAAAAATTAGCATTATCTGCTGGTGGTAGAGGAGTGATCGTTCATTTTTTCCTTCATATGTTTTCATAGTCTCTGATTTTTTTAAACAAAAGTGGATGGATATTCAGAAGAGATGTTTCATTTAAGTACTGTTACAGCATGGGTATTTCTTTATAGCACAGAGGTAGTGGTGGTTCACTGGTAGAATTCTCGCCTTCCATGCGGGAGACCCGGGTTAAATCCCCAGCCAATACACTTCATGCACAGCCACCACCCATCTGTCAGTGGAGGCTTGCGTGTTGCTATGATGTTCAACAGGTTTCAGTAGAGCTTCCAGACTAAGGCAGACTAGGAAGAAAGGCCTGGTGATCTACTTCCCAAAATCAGCCAGTGGAAACCCTATGGATCACAAAGGTCCAGTCCACAACCAATCACTGGGATGGCGCAGGACCAGGCAGCATTTTGTTTCATTGTGCAAGGGGTCACCATGAGTCGGGGACCAACTCCACAGCAGCTAACAATAATAACACAGCATGGGTATTGGCCAATAAGAAGGATAGCATTTGTAAACAACCAGTATAGTTAGAGTATATATATGGTATATATGTATACGTGTGTGTGAACAAAATTTCAATATCAGTTAAACAAAATCCTGCTTGCCACATGGATCGAGTTTCCCTAGGCCTTCAGTGACTGGGTCTGTATTGCATGTGGAGTTGCTGACAATCATCCTCCCTGCTTATATGACCTTTGCCTTCTCTGGACTTCTGGAATCTATCCCCTCTATCTACAACCACAACCCTGCCCAGCTCAAGCCTCATCTGCTTCTGTCTGGACCATTATACCAGCCTCCTCCCTGGCTTCCTGGCCTCCAACCCATTTCCCACATGGCCCTGAGGGGGTTTCCCAGGCCCAAATCCAAACTTTCCCCTCCCTGCTGCTTGGTTCCCACTGTCCCCAGGGCAGAGTCCCGGCTCCTCAACACATCTTTCCAGCCCAGTGTCCTACAACATCCTCCTTTCTCCAACACACCCAGCTACACAGAACACCTGGGTGGTTTCCTGAAAACACCTGGCTTTTCCACACCTCTTTGCCCATACAATCCTCTCTGCTAGATACACCCTTCCCTCTTCCTCCATCAGTTAGGCCTGCCCATTCTTCAAGAAGCCCTGATATTGATTGACCCCTTCTCCTGTGCCAGGCTGTCTTCTAAGCACTTGGCATGCCTAAACTCATTCAATCCACACACATCTTTATGAGGTAGGTACCATTTCCTGTTCCCATTCTACAGATGAGGAAACTGAGACACAAAGAGGTTAACTCACTAAATCAAGGTCACACAGCTAGAAAGTGGTGCTGGATTTGAACCTAGGCAGTTGGGCTCTGTGCCCTCAATCACTCTATTGTACCACCTGTCTACCGAGTGCCCTCCAACTGCTCCACCTCCAGGGAACTTACTTGATTCTTTCAGAGTTTCTCATTTATCTAACAAATATTTACTGCGCTCCGACTACACACCAAACATTGTTCTAGAGCAGGGAATATGACAAAACAGAGGGCTCTCAGGGACTAGCGAATGCAGACAGACAATGAATCAATTGATATGTCAGGCAGTGAGATGTCTGTCAGGCAAGGAGAGGCAGTCAGGTGGTGACATGTCACTCAGGCGGTGAAATGTCTGTCAGATGGTGAGATGTCTGTCAGGCATTGAGATGCCAATCAGGCGGTGAGACGTCAGTCAGGCAGTGAGATGTCAGTCAGGTGATCAGATGCCCGTCAGGTGGTGAGATGTCAGGCAGGCAGAAAGTTATCAGTCAGATGGGGAAACGTCAGTCATAGGATGAGATGTCTGTCAAGCAGAGATGCCAAACTGAAATATCTGTTAGACAGTGAGAGGTCCGTCAGGCAGTGAGATGTCAGGAGGTGAGATGTCCTATAAAAACAATAAAGCAGGGCACGGGGAACAGAAGGGATGCCATTTTAAATAACAAGAATAAGGAAGGCCTCGCCAGCAGAGTTACATTTGCGGATGCGAAGGGAATAATTGCAACCCTCACACACCATGGTGGGAGCATAAATAGAAAACTATTGGGCAGCTTCTACGGAAGCTAAACTTGCACATACCCTGTGATTCACTTCTTGGTATTTACTCAGCAGAAACGCATATACAACGTTCACCAAGTTCCACACTAGAATGTTCCTAGTAGTGCTGTTTGTAGTAGCCCCAAACTGGGATCGACCTGCATGCCTATCAACAGTAGAATGGTAAGTAACTTGGGGGATATTTGCATAATGGAATACTAGACAGAATGAGAATGACTACCCATGACATCATGGATGAAGCCCACAGTCATAATGGTGAACCAAAGAAGCCAAACACAAAAGAATGAAGTGGAATGCAGTACAGGGAGGGGAGCGGCATGAAGTAGGGTGGAGTGGAAAAAAAGGGTGTAGTAGGGTGTACTATTGTCAAACATTATAAAAAATATCTAACATCTACCTCCAGTTACAGGAAAGAGAAGTTTTAGAAGAACAAGTTAGACGACACTCGGAGGAAACAATCAGATGCTCCTAGAATGTGAGTCAACATCATGCGGGAAAAACAGTGTCAAACTTCTCAACTAAATAGACATAAATAGACATAACAACCAAACGCCCGGCCATTTACCCTGATTGGGTCCTGGTTGCCAAAAGCACCTGTAAAAAAGATTCCTGGGGCAATTGGAGAAATTTGAGCATGGGCTAGCTGCTTAACAATATTATAGAATTATTACGAACTTTGTTAGGCGTGACAAAGGTATTATGGTTTTGTAAGAAAGTGGTTCTCAAAGTGGAGTTCAGGGACCCCTCGGGTCTGCAAGGTCAAAATTATTTTCATAATGATATGAAGACGGCTTTT